CTGCAAAATCCCCATTCCCTTCCCACTCCAGGGGAAGGATACTGTAAAATCCCCATTCCCTCCCCACTCCAGGGAAAGGATACTGCAAAATCCCCATTCCCTCCCCACTCCATTCCCACCCTACTCTGGTGCCAGTCAGAGGTGGTATTTGCCAGTTCTCTGAACTACTCAAAATTCCCACTGCCAGTTCTCCAGAATCTGTCAGAACCTGATGGATTTCACCCCGGGTGAGAAAGGACACTCACGTGTTGCTGGCTGTATCCCTGAAGGAGCAGCAGATGTGGGGACTGATAGAGTGAGAGTCTCAAGGTGTTACCCCCATTCGGCTCTTCAAGGGCAGCCGCCGCTCGCCCATCCGGTACCCCTTCCATGCATCGGAGGGTCTCCGGCAGTGTGGAGTAGTGCCGCCGAAGAGGCCCCTCCTCTTTCTGGTCCTCCGGTGGGCCCGCTTGGCTAAGGCTGGTCTCGCTGACGGTGCGCCGAAGGCTGGGGGGCGAAGTATGGCAAGCCCTCAATAGGGTCATGGTGCCTTTGGTGCGGTTGCGCTGGAGCTTCCGAGCCTGGGCGTTAATTCCTGGGGGGTGAAGGAGAAGAAGGTTGGCAGGCAAGGCCCATCCAGGGTTGAAATGCTACCGGTTCGGACCAGTTTGCCCGAACCAATAGTAAAAAAAATTGCTAGCGGTTCGCGTGAACCAGTATTTCCGATGATCAGCTGTGACCCGCGATTTATATTACCATATTTTTCAGAGTATAAGACGCACCTTTTTCCCTCAAAAAAGAGGCTGAAAATCTGGGTGCGTCTTATACACTGTATACGGCATTTTGGCCTCCTGAAACCCCGCTGTTAATATTATTATTAACACTATCTGATGCTAAGGAGTTAAGATGCTCTACTCCCCCTCCCCGCCTGACAATCATTCTGTTCCACCTGCCACTTGGGTGTGGGCATGGCTAGTAATAATAATATTAAAAGTTTAGGTAAGGAAAAGGAAAGCACCACTTATCCATCATTGGACTCCCGCTGCTGGGATAAAAATATTTCTCTATTTCTGCTCTCTATGTTGGCTTCCCTTCCAAACCATGCAGTAGAACGAAAGCCAAAAATATATTTCAAGAGAGATTAGACACACACACACACACACACACAAACACACAGAGACACCCCCACCCACCCCCAAAAGACCATCTGGATGGGTCATGCAAATGACATGTCTCTCTACTCCCCCCTCCTCCTCCGTCAGCCTTTTCCAGAGTCCCTTCTGCTCTCTCTTTCTTCTGACCTACACACACACATGCAAACACGCAAATCCAATTTCACGACTTGTGCAGCAACCTTTCCCAGCTGCCTTCTGCGGTTGGGGAGGGGGGGGATTAAGAAAAGGGAAAAGTCTCTTTCCTCACTTGTTCTCCTCCTTCCCTCCTGCTTCCCCAAATCCCTGGAAATAAACTGGAGGTGTGGAATGCAGAGAGGACGGATCGAGGAAGGTTGGAGACCATCAACCGTCTTACCGTCTTACCGCAAAGTTGAACCAAGGGCTTTCCAGGCGCTTGTTCTCCCCCCCCCCCCGGCTTTTAAGCCAAGCTCATTTGCCAGCGCACTGGCGGGTGGAAAGGATTGCCAACTGCAGTGGAGACTCTGCGGATTAGCTGCAGAGGTAAGGAACAATTAACTTTTCCTTACTGTCAGAGAGAGGGAGAGAAGGAGAGGGAGAGGGGGAGAGAGAGTGGGAGAGAGAGAGA